CCTCTGCCTCTGCCTCTGTCTCTGCCTCTGCCTCTGTCTCTGCCTCTGCCTCTGCCTCTGTCTCTGCCTCTGCCTCTGTCTCTGTCTCTGCCTCTGCCTCTGTCTCTGTCTCTGCCTCTGCCTCTGCCTCTGTCTCTGCCTCTGCCTCTGCCTCTGTCTCTGTCTCTGCTCTGCCTCTGCCTCTGCCTCTGCCTCTGCCTCTGCCTCTGCCTCTGCCTCTGCTCTGCCTCTGCCTCTGCCTCTGCCTCTGCCTCTGCCTCTGCCTCTGCCTCTGCCTCTGCTCTCTGCCTCTGCCTCTGCTCTGCTCTGCCTCTGCCTCTGCCTCTGCTCTGCCTCTGCTCTGTCTCTTCTCTGTCTCTGTCTCTGTCTCTGCCTCTGCCTCTGCCTCTCTGCCTCTGCTCTGCCTCTGCCTCTGCCTCTGCCTCTGCCTCTGCCTCTGCCTCTGCCTCTGCCTCTGCCTCTGCCTCTGTCTCTGTCTCTGCTCTCTGCCTCTGCCTCTGCCTCTGCCTCTGCCTCTGTCTCTGTCTCTGTCTCTGCCTCTGCCTCTGCCTCTGCCTCTGCCTCTGCCTCTGCCTCTGCTCTGTCTGCCTCTGCCTCTGCCTCTGCTCTGCCTCTGCCTCTGTCTCTGCCTCTGTCTGCCTCTGCTCTGCTCTGCCTCTGTCTCTGCCTCTGCCTCTGCCTCTGCCTCTGTCTCTGCCTCTGTCTCTGCCTCTGCCTCTGCCTCTGCCTCTGCCTCTGTCCTCTGCCTCTGCTCTGCCTCTGCCTCTGCCTCTGCCTCTGCCTCTGCCTGCTCTGCCTCTGCCTCTGCCTCTGCTCTGCCTCTGCCTCTGCCTCTGCCTCTGCCTCTGCCTCTGCCTCTGCCTCTGCCTCTGCCTCTGCCTCTGCTCTGCTGCCTCTGCCTCTGCTCTGCTCTGCCTCTGCCTCTGCCTCTGCCTCTGCCTCTGCCTGCTCTGCCTCTGCCTCTGCCTCTGCCTCTGCCTCTGCCTCTGCCTCTGCCTCTGCCTCTGTCTCTGTCTCTGCCTCTGCCTCTGCCTCTGCCTCTGTCTCTGTCTGCTGCCTCTGCCCTGCCTCTGCCTCTGCCTCTGCCTCTGCCTCTGCCTCTGCTCTGTCTCTGTCTCTGTCTCTGTCTCTGCTCTGCCTCTGCCTCTGCCTCTGCCTCTGTCTCTGCCTCTGCCTCTGCCTCTGCCTCTGTCTCTCTGTCTCTGCCTCTGCCTCTGCCTCTGCCTCTGCTCCTGCCTCTGTCTCTGCCTCTGCCTCTGTCTCTGCCTCTGCCTCTGCCTCTGCCTCTGCCTCTGCCTCTGTCTCTGCCTCTGCCTCTGCCTCTGGCTCTCCTCTGTCTCTGTCTCTGCCTCTGCCTCTGCCTCTGCCTCTGCCTCTGTCTCTGCCTCTGCCTCTGCCTCTGCCTCTGCCTCTGTCTCTCTGTCTCTGTCTCTGCCTCTGCCTCTGCCTCTGCCTCTGTCTCTGTCTCTGCCTCTGCCTCTGCCTCTGCCTCTGTCTCTGCCTCTGCCTCTGCCTCTGCCTCTGCCTCTGTCTCTGCCTCTGCCTCTGCCTCTGCCTCTGCCTCTGCCTCTGCCTCTGTCTCTGCCTCTGTCTCTGCCTCTGCCTCTGCCTCTGCCTCTGCCTCTGCCTCTGCCTCTGCCTCTGCCTCTGCCTCTGCCTCTGCCTCTGCCTCTGCCTCTGCCTCTGCCTCTGCCTCTGCCTCTGCCTCTGCCTCTGCCTCTGCCTCTGCCTCTGCCTCTGCCTCTGCCTCTGCCTCTGCTCTCTGTCTCTGCCTCTGCTCCTGCCTCTGCCTCTGCCTCTGCCTCTGCCTCTGTCTCTGCCTCTGCCTCTGCCTCTGCCTCTGCCTCTGCCTCTGTCTCTGCCTCTGCCTCTGCCTCTGTCTCTGCCTCTGCCTCTGCCTCTGCCTCTGCCTCTGCCCCTGCCTCTGCCTCTGCCTCTGCCTCTGTCTCTGTCTCTGTCTCTGCCTCTGCCTCTGCCGCTGCCTCTGTCTCTGTCTCTGCCTCTGCCCCTGCCTCTGTCTCTGCCTCTGCCTCTGCCTCTGTCTCTGTCTCTGTCTCTGTCTCTGCCTCTGCCTCTGCCTCTGCCTCTGTCTCTGCCTCTGCCTCTGCCTCTGCCTCTGCCTCTGCCTCTGCCTCTGTCTCTGTCTCTGCCTCTGCCTCTGCCTCTGCCTCTGTCTCTGTCTCTGCCTCTGCCTCTGCCTCTGCTCTGCCTCTGCCTCTGCCTCTGCCTCTGCCTCTGCCTCTGTCTCTGCCTCTGTCTCTGCCTCTGCCTCTGCCTCTGCCTCTGCCTCTGCCTCTGTCTCTGTCTCTGTCTCTGCCTCTGCCTCTGCCTCTGCCTCTGTCTCTGTCTCTGCCTCTGCCTCTGCCTCTGTCTCTGTCTCTGTCTCTGCCTCTGCCTCTGCCTCTGCCTCTGCCTCTGCCTCTGCCTCTGCCTCTGCCTCTGCCTCTGCCTCTGTCTCTGTCTCTGCCTCTGCCTCTGCCTCTGCTCTGCCTCTGCCTCTGCCTCTGCCTCTGCCTCTGCCTCTGCCTCTGCCTCTGTCTCTGTCTCTGTCTCTGCCTCTGCCTCTGCCTCTGCCTCTGCCTCTGCCTCTGTCTCTGCTCTGCCTCTGCCTCTGCCTCTGCCTCTGCCTCTGCCTCTGCCTCTGCCTCTGCCTCTGCCTCTGCCTCTGCCTCTGCCTCTGCCTCTGCCTCTGCCTCTGCCTCTGCCTCTGCCTCTGCCTCTGCCTCTGCCTCTGCCTCTGCCTCTGCCTCTGCCTCTGCCTCTGCCTCTGCCTCTGCCTCTGCCTCTGCCTCTGCCTCTGCCTCTGCCTCTGTCTCTGCCTCTGCCTCTGCCTCTGCCTCTGCCTCTGCCTCTGCCTCTGCCTCTGTCTCTGTCTCTGTCTCTGCCTCTGCCTCTGTCTCTGCCTCTGCCTCTGCCTCTGCCTCTGTCTCTGTCTCTGTCTCTGCCTCTGTCTCTGCCTCTGCCTCTGTCTCTGCCTCTGCCCCTGCTCCTGCACCTGCACCTGCTCCTGCTTCAGCTTCTGCTTCAGCTCCTGCTCCTGCTCCTGCTCCAGCTCCAGCTTCTGCTTCTGCTTCTGCTTCTGCTTCTACCAGAAATGAACAACACTTCTAGCACTGGCTCAGGGTTTTGTCTCTGCTGATCTTGTGATGCAGAATATAAAAACAAAACCCTTTCATTTTGGGTTAAAATACAAAGTAACACATGTTACGGCCCTTCGTACCGAGTCAGACATTACTCTGGGTTACTCAGACATTACTCAGGGTTACTCAGGGTTACTCAGGCATTACTCAGGCATTACTCAGGGTTACTCAGACATTACTCAGGGTTACTCAGGGTCACTCAGACATTACTCAGGGTTACTCAGACATTACTCAGGGTTACTCAGACATTACTCAGGGTTACTCAGGCATTACTCAGGGTTACTCAGACATTACTCAGGGTTACTCAGACATTACTCAGGGTTACTCAGACAATACTCAGGGTTACTCAGACATTACTCAGGGTTACTCAGGGTCACTCAGACATTACTCAGGGTTACTCAGGGTTACTCAGACATTACTCAGGGTCACTCAGACATTACTCAGGGTTACTCAGACATTACTCAGGGTTACTCAGACATTACTCAGGGTTACTCAGACATTACTCAGGGTTACTCAGGGTTACTCAGACATTACTCAGGGCTACTCAGACATTACTCAGGGTTACTCAGACAGTGCTCAGGGTTACTCAGACATTACTCAGGGTTACTCAGACATTACTCAGGGTTATTCAGACATTACTCAGGGCTACTCAGACATTACTCAGGGCTACTCAGACATTACTCAGGGTTACTCAGACATTACTCAGGGCTACTCAGGCATTACTCAGGGTTACTCAGACATTACTCAGGGTTACTCAGACATTACTCAGGGTTACTCAGGGTTACTCAGACATTACTCAGGGTTACTCAGACATTACTCAGGGTTACTCAGACATTACTCAGGGTTACTCAGACATTACTCAGGGCTACTCAGACATTACTCAGGGTTACTCAGACATTACTCAGGGTTACTCAGACATTACTCAGGGCTACTCAGACATTACTCAGGGTTACTCAGACATTACTCAGGGTTACTCAGACATTACTCAGGGTTACTCAGGGTTACTCAGACATTACTCAAGGCTACTCAGACATTACTCAGGGTTACTCAGATATTACATCATTACATTAGGACCAGGGTACTCTGGAGCCCTGCCATGTCTGAGGAATACTCCAGGATTACAAGCAAAGTCAATCAAACAGAGTCATCTAAAGATGAACACACTGTAGGACACACACTGTAGGACACACTGTAGGACACACACTGTAGGACACACACTGTAGGACACACTGTAGGACACACACTGTAGGACACACTGTAGGACACACACTGTAGGACACACTGTAGAACACACTGTAGGACACACACTGTAGAACACACTGTAGGACACACTGTAGGACACACACTGTAGAAACTATTCTTTCTTGCAGGAATTGTTTTAAAAAAATAAACACATAACAATTCAGTATAACAGCAGCAAACACACAACATGTTCAGGAGGGCATGAGCTCTGGCTCCTGCTCTGGCTCCTGCTCTGGCTCCTCCTCTGGCTCCTGCTCTGGCTCCTGCTCTGGCTCCTTCTCTGGCTCCTGCTCTGGCTCCTGCTCTGGCTCCTGCTCTGGCTCCTGCTCTGACTCCTGCTCTGGCTCTGGCTCCTGCTCTGGCTCCTGCTCTGGCTCCTGCTCTGGCTCCTGCTCCGCCTGCGCCCCATTCACACCATACTCTAGCCCCGACCACTGCTTGACCCCGGGGGGTCTGAGGTCATCTTCAGCAGCAGACAATCTCCCCTCTGCAAGTGTCACTGCCGGGGTCAATGCGCCAAATAAATAAATCATTTTATTGTAATCATTTTGTCTTTGGTCTCTTCAGATTTAATGTTGTATTTTCCAAAAACTCATTCTCAGGTGCTAAAAGGTTAACATGTATGTGACATGTATGTAACATGTGTGTGACATGTATGTGACATGTATGTAACATGTATGTGACATGTGTGTGACATGTATGTGACATGTATGTAACATGTGTGTGACATGTGTGTGACATGTGTGTGACATGTGTGTGACATGTATGTGACATGTGTGTGACATGTGTGTGACATGTGTGTGACATGTGTGTGACATGTATGTGACATGTATGTGACATGTGTGTGACATGTGTGTGACATGTGTGTGACATGTGTGTGACATGTATGTGACATGTATGTGACATGTGTGTGACATGTATGTGACATGTGTGTGACATGTATGTGACATGTGTGTGACATGTATGTGACATGTGTGTGACATGTATGTGACATGTGTGTGACATGTATGTGACATGTATGTAACATGTATGCTATATAACCTGCCTCTTCTTTCCTCAGGCTCAGCGAGTCAGGGGTCTCCCACAGATCACAGGTCTCCAAACGGGACCAAGCCCAAGATCACCCTGGACCCCCACATCCGACTGAAGGCGGAGAAGCTGGACCTGGTCAGTTCCTGTTGGGAATCTCTACAGACGAATGTATGGATTTATGAATGTTTGAATAAGTGGAGGATCCAGGAGGTATGGAAGGATCCAGGAGGTATGGAAGGATCCAGGAGGTATGGAAGGATCCAGGAGGTATGGGAGGATCCAGGAGGTATGGAAGGATCCAGGAGGTATGGGAGGATCCAGGAGGTATGGAAGGATCCAGGAGGTATGGAAGGATCCAGGTGGTATGGGAGGATCCAGGAGGTATGGGAGGATCCAGGTGGTATGGGAGGATCCAGGAGGTATGGAAGGATCCAGGTGGTATGGGAGGATCCAGGAGGTATGGAAGGATCCAGGTGGTATGGGAGGATCCAGGTGGTATGGGAGGATCCAGGAGGTATGGAAGGATCCAGGAGGTATGGAAGGATCCAGGTGGTATGGGAGGATCCAGGAGGTATGGAAGGATCCAGGTGGTATGGGAGGATCCAGGAGGTATGGGAGGATCCAGGAGGTATGGGAGGATCCAGGAGGTATGGGAGGATCCAGGAGGTATGGAAGGATCCAGGAGGTATGGAAGGATCCAGGAGGTATGGAAGGATCCAGGTGGTATGGGAGGATCCAGGAGGTATGGAAGGATCCAGGTGGTATGGGAGGATCCAGGAGGTATGGAAGGATCCAGGAGGTATGGAAGGATCCAGGAGGTATGGAAGGATCCAGGTGGTATGGGAGGATCCAGGAGGTATGGAAGGATCCAGGAGGTATGGAAGGATCCAGGAGGTATGGGAGGATCCAGGAGGTATGGAAGGATCCAGGAGGTATGGGAGGATCCAGGAGGTATGGAAGGATCCAGGAGGTATGGAAGGATCCAGGAGGTATGGGAGGATCCAGGAGGTATGGGAGGATCCAGGAGGTATGGAAGGATCCAGGAGGTATGGAAGGATCCAGGAGGTATGGAAGGATCCAGGAGGTATGGGAGGATCCAGGAGGTATGGAAGGATCCAGGAGGTATGGAAGGATCCAGGAGGTATGGGAGGATCCAGGAGGTATGGAAGAATAACTGGTCGATGAATGCACTTTCTGGACAATAAGATGCACCAAATACAGGCCACACCTGAGGATGAGCTGCGGGTTTGTAACGTAGCAGAGACGACTGTTTGAACTGGAGCAGGAGTTTGGGAACTTAGCTGAGCTCCCCCGTTAGCTCATACCATTGATTCATTTACAGTGATGTCGTTCATGACACATGATGTGAACTAATTCACACGTTCATTTACAGTGATGTCGTTCATGACACATGTGAACTAATTCACACGTTCATTTACAGTGATGTCGTTCATGACACATGTGAACTAATTCACACGTTCATTTACAGTGATGTCGTTCATGACACATGTGAACTAATTCACACGTTCATTTACAGTGATGTCGTTCATGACACATGATGTGAACTAATTCACACGTTCATTTACAGTGATGTCGTTCATGACACATGTTAACTAATTCACACGTTCATTTAGGGTGATGTCGTTCATGACACATGATGTGAACTAATTCACACGTTCATTTACGTTGATGTCGTTCATGACACATGATGTGAACTAATTCACACGTTCATTTACAGTGATGTTGTTCATGACACATGTTAACTAATTCACACGTTCATTTAGGGTGATGTCGTTCATGACACATGATGTGAACTAATTCACACGTTCATTTAGGGTGATGTCGTTCATGACACATGATGTGAACTAATTCACACGTTCATTTACGTTGATGTCGTTCATGACACATGTGAACTAATTCACACGTTCATTTACGGTGATGTCGTTCATGACACATGTGAACTAATTCACACGTTCATTTACAGTGATGTCATTCATGACACATGTGAACTAATTCACACGTTCATTTACGGTGATGTCGTTCATGACACATGATGTGAACTAATTCACACATTCATTTACAGTGATGTCGTTCATGACAGGTGAACTAATTCACACGTTCATTTACAGTGATGTCGTTCATGACACATGATGTGAACTAATTAACACGTTCATTTACAGTGATGTCGTTCATGACACATGATGTGAACTAATTCACACGTTCATTTACAGTGATGTCGTTCATGACACATGATGTGAACTAATTCACACGTTCATTTACAGTGATGTCGTTCATGACACATGATGTGAACTAATTCACACGTTCATTTACAGTGATGTCGTTCATGACACATGATGTGAACTAATTCACACGTTCATTTACAGTGATGTCAGTTCATGACACATGATGTGAAACTAATTCACACGTTCATTTACAGTGATGTCGTTCATGACACATGATGTGAACTAATTCACACGTTCATTTACAGTGATGTCGTTCATGACACATGATGTGAACTAATTCACACGTTCATTTACAGTGATGTCGTTCATGACACATGATGTGAACTAATTCACACGTTCATTTACAGTGATGTCGTTCATGACACATGATGTGAACTAATTCACACGTTCATTTACAGTGATGTCGTTCATGACACATGATGTGAACTAATTCACACGTTCATTTACAGTGATGTCGTTCATGACACATGATGTGAACTAATTCACACGTTCATTTACAGTGATGTCGTTCATGACCATGATGTGAACAGTGTGATGTCGTTCATGACACATGATGTGAACTAATTCACACGTTCATTTACAGTGATGTCGTTCATGACACATGATGTGAACTAATTCACACGTTCATTTACAGTGATGTCGTTCATGACACATGATGTGAACTAATTCACACGTTCATTTACAGTGATGTCGTTCATGACACATGATGTGAACTAATTCACACGTTCATTTACAGTGATGTCGTTCATGACACATGATGTGAACTAATTCACACGTTCATTTACAGTGATGTCGTTCATGACACATGATGTGAACTAATTCACACGTTCATTTACAGTGATGTCGTTCATGACACATGATGTGAACTAATTCACACGTTCATTTACAGTGATGTCGTTCATGACACATGATGTGAACTAATTCACACGTTCATTTACAGTGATGTCGTTCATGACACATGATGTGAACTAATTCACACGTTCATTTACAGTGATGTCGTTCATGACACATGATGTGAACTAATTCACACGTTCATTTACAGTGATGTCGTTCATGACACATGATGTGAACTAATTCACACGTTCATTTACAGTGATGTCGTTCATGACACATGATGTGAACTAATTCACACGTTCATTTACAGTGATGTCGTTCATGACACATGGTGTGAACTAATTCACACGTTCATTTACAGTGATGTCGTTCATGACACATGATGTGAACTAATTCACACGTTCATTTACAGTGATGTTGTTCATGACACATGATGTGAACTAATTCACACGTTCATTTACAGTGATGTCGTTCATGACACATGGTGTGAACTAATTCACACGTTCATTTACAGTGATGTCGTTCATGACACATGATGTGAACTAATTCACACGTTCATTTACAGTGATGTCGTTCATGACACATGATGTGAACTAATTCACACGTTCATTTACAGTGATGTTGTTCATGACACATGATGTGAACTAATTCACACGTTCATTTACAGTGATGTCGTTCATGACACATGATGTGAACTAATTCACACGTTCATTTACAGTGATGTCGTTCATGACACATGATGTGAACTAATTCACACGTTCATTTACAGTGATGTCGTTCATGACACATGATGTGAACTAATTCACACGTTCATTTACAGTGATGTTGTTCATGACACATGATGTGAACTAATTCACACGTTCATTTACAGTGATGTCGTTCATGACACATGATGTGAACTAATTCACACATTCATTTACAGTGATGTTGTTCATGACACATGATGTGAACTAATTCACACGTTCATTTACAGTGATGTCGTTCATGACACATGATGTGAACTAATTCACACGTTCATTTACAGTGATGTCGTTCATGACACATGATGTGAACTAATTCACACGTTCATTTACAGTGATGTCGTTCATGACACATGATGTGAACTAATTCACACGTTCATTTACAGTGATGTCGTTCATGACACATGATGTGAACTAATTCACACGTTCATTTACAGTGATGTCGTTCATGACACATGATGTGAACTAATTCACACGTTCATTTACAGTGATGTTGTTCATGACACATGATGTGAACTAATTCACACGTTCATTTACAGTGATGTCGTTCATGACACATGGTGTGAACTAATTCACACGTTCATTTACAGTGATGTCGTTCATGACACATGATGTGAACTAATTCACACGTTCATTTACAGTGATGTCGTTCATGACACATGATGTGAACTAATTCACACGTTCATTTACAGTGATGTTGTTCATGACACATGATGTGAACTAATTCACACGTTCATTTACAGTGATGTCGTTCATGACACATGATGTGAACTAATTCACACGTTCATTTACAGTGATGTCGTTCATGACACATGATGTGAACTAATTCACACGTTCATTTACAGTGATGTCGTTCATGACACATGATGTGAACTAATTCACACGTTCATTTACAGTGATGTTGTTCATGACACATGATGTGAACTAATTCACACGTTCATTTACAGTGATGTCGTTCATGACACATGATGTGAACTAATTCACACGTTCATTTACAGTGATGTCGTTCATGACACATGATGTGAACTAATTCAGGTTAAAATTCTTTATTTTAAAAATGTGTTGCATTCAGTTCAACGTTCACACAAAAATTAGCGTGTTCAATGAACTGGTTCATGCACAAAAATGAAATTTACAGTACTCATAAAAATGTCCCATAGAACTCAGAGTGAACCATAACAGACCTCAGTCAGAGAACCTGACAGAGAACCTGACGGAGAACCTGACGGAGGACCTGACGGAGAACCTGAAGGAGAACCTGACAGAGAACCTGACGGAGAACCTGAAGGAGAACCTGACGGAGAACTCAACAGAGAACCTGACAGTGAACCTGACAAAGAGCTCAACTCTGATTGGACAGAACGCTGCCCCTCTGGGAATGTGAATTGTCATTGTTGGTATTTAGTGCAAAGCATCATGGGAGCTTGTCCACTGCACAGAACCGGGAAGACCAGAGACATACCCAAATACGGGCGAGTTCCGCTAATCTTTCAGTGCCCATGGGGGGGCGTCACTGAGCACAAGCCACTGATTAGGCCGCCATCTTGCATCCGCCATCTTAGATTTGCCATCTTGGATCCGCCATCTTAGATTCGCCATCTTGGATCCGCCATCTTAGAGTCGCCATCTTGGATCCGCCATCTTGGATCCGCCATCTTGGATCTTGGGTCACCTGGTTTTGTCTGTACTAATTCTCTTTTAACCATAAAGGAGTGTCCTACTGAAACTTGATGCAGTCAAAATAGTCCATAAACTCCACAAACACATATGAGCCGTAGGTGGGCAATAGTATCGTGAAAGTCAATTTGAAGATATGCTTTTTCGCATTATCGTCTCTTTTAGTAAGTAAGTAATCTTTTATTTATATACCGCCTTTTCACTGCAGATCTGAGTCTCAAAGAGGTTTACAATTGTTAATTTTGGGCATTTGTCTCTCACTCCACACAGAGATGGGAGGGGCCAGTACAGGAGGCACATTCCAGAACTATTGTACATATTTTTAGTGGTAGGGGAAACCGGAGTACCCGGAGGAAACCTACGCAGACACGGGGAGAACATGCAAACTCCACTCAGAAAGGCCCTGGTCTGACTGGGATTCGAACCCAGGACCTTCTTGCTGAGAGGCGAGAGTGCTATCCACTCAGCCACCGTGCCGCCCATTGATATGTTTTATTATTTGAAACATATCACATTTAGAGAAGGAAATATTCCCATTGGTCTAATGTGTGTCTAAAAAGCCAATCACTGCTTTATTTGCACATTTCAGTAAATATTGAGCCTTTTTGGATTTGTTCTTTCTGTGTTTCTTGAATTGTTTTTTTTTTAATGTTAAAATATGTTTGTGCATGTTTTACAAAGATGTTGAAGCTTCTATTTAGCTCTACACTGTCTCTATCTATAGATGCCCCATTTTGTGTACAAATGATTGATTTGAAAGATATCTTGACAATATCGTTATCAGGAGTTGGGGAAAAAATATCAAGACATTTCATTTTGTCCATATCGCCCACCTTTAATTAGCAGCATCGCTATATTAGCCTCAGGGATCAAAGAACTAGAACAGAGAAGCAGCTTATAGTCCATATGATTGATCTAGAACCAATGTGTTCTCCACCAGAGGGCAGTAGTTCTGACCTGTGTTTAACCATATGTGTGACCATGTGTGAACAGTTCTGACCTGTGTTTAACCATATGTGTGACCATGTGTGTGACCATGTGTGTGAGCTTGTGTGTGACCATGTGTGTGACCATGTGTGAACAGTTCTGATCTGTGTTTAACCAAATGTGTGACCATGTGTGTGACCATGTGTGTGAGCTTGTGTGTGACCATGTGTGTGACCATGTGTGAACAGTTCTGACCTGTGTTTAACCAAATGTGTGACCATGTGTGTGACCATGTGTGTGACCATGTGTGTGACCATGTGTGTGATCATGTGTGTGACCATGTGTGTGACCATGTGTGAACAGTTCTGGCCTGTGTCTTCTTCACAGGCTCTCAGATTCCTGGGGTTAGAGGTCACAGAGGAGCAGAAGAACCAACTCCGACTGGGGCTGAGTCCTGACCCTCAGGGAACTGTGTCCTACGGAGGTACACCCTAAAGAAGTACTCTAACTACAGTCTGACAGTAACAGTACTCTTACTACAGACTGACAGTAACAGTACTCTTTCTACAGTCTGACAGTGCAACAGTACTCTTACTACAGTCTGACAGTAACAGTACTCTTTCTACAGTCTGACAGTGCAACAGTACTCTTACCACAGTCTGACAGTAACAGTACTCTTTCTACAGTCTGACAGTGCAACAGTACTCTTACCACAGTCTGACAGTAACAGTACTCTTTCTACAGTCTGACAGTGCAACAGTACTCTTACCACAGTCTGACAGTAACAGTACTCTTTCTACAGTCTGACAGTGCAACAGTACTCTTACTACAGTCTGACAGTAACAGTACTCTTTCTACAGTCTGACAGTGCAACAGTACTCTTACCACAGTCTGACAGTAACAGTACTCTTACTACAGTCTGACAGTAACAGTACTCTTTCTACAGTCTGACAGTGTAACAGTACTCTTACTACAGTCTGACAGTAACAGTACTCTTTCTACAGTCTGACAGTGCAACAGTACTCTTACCACAGTCTGACAGTAACAGTACTCTTACTACAGTCTGACAGTAACAGTACTCTTTCTACAGTCTGACAGTGTAACAGTACTCTTACTACAGTCTGACAGTAACAGTACTCTTTCTACAGTCTGACAGTGCAACAGTACTCTTACTACAGTCTGACAGTGTAACAGTACTCTTACTACAGTCTGACAGTGTAACAGTACTCTAACTACAGTCTGACAGTAACAGTACTCTAACTACAGTCTGACAGTGTAACAGTACTCTTACTACAGTCTGACAGTGTAACAGTACTCTTACTACAGTCTGACAGTAACAGTACTCTTACTACAGTCTGACAGTGTAACAGTACTCTTACTACAGTCTGACAGTAACAGTACTCTTTCTACAGTCTGACAGTAACAGTACTCTTACTACAGTCTGACAGTAACAGTACTCTTTCTACAGTCTGACAGTGTAACAGTACTCTTACTACAGGCTGACAGTAACAGTACTCTTACTACAGTCTGACAGTAACAGTACTCTTTCTACAGTCTGACAGTGCAACAGTACTCTTACTACAGTCTGACAGTAACAGCACTCTAACTACAGTCTGACAGTGTAACAGTACTCTAACTACAGTCTGACAGTGTAACAGTACTCTTTCTACAGTCTGACAGTGTAACAGTACTCTACAGTCTGACAGTGACAGTACTCTTACTACAGTCTGACAGTGACGGTTCTCTTTCTACAGTCTGACAGTGTAACAGTACTCTTACTACAGTCTGACAGTGTAACAGTACTCTTACTACAGTCTGACAGTGGCAGTACTCTTACTACAGTCTGACAGTAACAATACTCTTTCTACAGTCTGACAGTGTAACAGTACTCTTACTACAGTCTGACAGTGACGGTTCTCTTTCTACAGTCTGACAGTGTAACAGTACTCTTTCTACAGTCTGACAGTGACAGTACTCTTTCTACAGTCTGACAGTGTAACAGTACTCTTACTACAGTCTGACAGTGACGGTTCTCTTTCTACAGTCTGACAGTGTAACAGTACTCTTTCTACAGTCTGACAGTAACAGTACTCTTTCTACAGTCTGACAGTAACAGTACTCTTACTACAGTCTGACAGTAACAGTTCTCTTTCTACAGACTGACAGTGTAACAGTACTCTTACTACAGTCTGACAGTAACAGTACTCTTACTACAGTCTGACAGTAACAGTACTCTTACTACAGTCTGGCAGTGTAACAGTACTCTTACTACAGTCTGACAGTAACAGTACTCTTTCTACAGTCTGACAGTGTAACAGCACTCTTACTACAGTCTGACAGTGACAGTACTCTTTCTACAGTCTGGCAGTAACAGTACTCTTACTACAGACTGACAGTGTAACAGTACTCTTACTACAGTCTGACAGTAACAGTACTCTTACTACAGACTGACAGTGTAACAGTACTCTTACTACAGTCTGACAGTAACAGTACTCTTACTACAGTCTGACAGTGTAACAGTACTCTTTCTACAGTCTGACAGTGTAACAGTACTCTTACTACATTCTGACAGTGTAACAGTACTCTTACTACAGTCTGACAGTAACAGTACTCTTACTACAGTCTGACAGTCACGGTTCTCTTTCTACAGTCTGACAGTGTAACAGTACTCTTACTACAGTCTGACAGTGTAACAGTACTCTTACTACAGACTGACAGTGTAACAGTACTCTTACTACAGTCTAACAGTGTAACAGTACTCTTACTACAGTCTGACAGTGTAACAGTACTCTTACTACATTCTGACAGTGTAACAGTACTCTTACTACAGACTGACAGTAACAGTACTCTTACTACAGTCTGACAGTAACAGTACTCTTACTACAGTCTGACAGTGTAACAGTACTCTTTCTACAGTCTGACAGTGTAACAGTACTCTTACTACAGTCTGACAGTGTAACAGTACTCTTACTACAGACTGACAGTGTAACAGTACTCTTACTACAGTCTGACAGTGTAACAGTACTCTTACTACAGACTGACAGTGTAACAGTACTCTTACTACAGTCTGACAGTGTAACAGTACTCTTACTACAGTCTGACAGTAACAGTACTCTTACTACAGTCTGACAGTAACAGTACTCTTACTACAGTCTGACAGTAACAGTTATCTTTCTACAGTCTGACAGTAACAGTACTCTTACTACAGTCTGACAGTAACAGTACTCTTACTACAGTCTGACAGTAACAGTATTCTTACTAGTCTGACAGTAACAGTACTCTTACTACAGACTGACAGTGTAACAGTACTCTTACTACAGTCTGACAGTAACAGTACTCTTACTACAGTCTGACAGTGTAACAGTACTCTTACTACAGTCTGACAGTAACAGTACTCTTTCTACAGTCTGACAGTGTAACAGCACTCTTACTACAGTCTGACAGTGACAGTACTCTTTTTACAGTCTGGCAGTAACAGTACTCTTACTACAGACTGACAGTGTAACAGTACTCTTACTACAGTCTGACAGTAACAGTACTCTTACTACAGTCTGACAGTAACAGTACTCTTACTACAGTCTGACAGTGTAACAGTACTCTTTCTACAGTCTGACAGTGTAACAGTACTCTTACTACATTCTTACAGTGTAACAGTACTCTTACTACAGTCTGACAGTAACAGTACTCTTACTACAGTCTGACAGTCACGGTTCTCTTTCTACAGTCTGACAGTGTAACAGTACTCTTACTACAGTCTGACAGTGTAACAGTACTCTTACTACAGACTGACAGTGTAACAGTACTCTTACTACAGTCTAACAGTGTAACAGTACTCTTACTACAGTCTGACAGTGTAACAGTACTCTTACTACATTATGACAGTGTAACAGTACTCTTACTACAGACTGACAGTAACAGTACTCTTACTACAGTCTGACAGTAACAGTACTCTTACTACAGACTGACAGTGTAACAGTACTCTTACTACAGTCTGACAGTGTAACAGTACTCTTACTACAGTCTGACAGTAACAGTACTCTTACTACAGTCTGACAGTAACAGTACTCTTACTACAGTCTGACAGTAACAGTTATCTTTCTACAGTCTGACAGTAACAGTACTCTTACTACAGTCTGACAGTAACAGTATTCTTACTAGTCTGACAGTAACAGTACTCTTACTACAGACTGACAGTGTAACAGTACTCTTTCTACAGTCTGACAGTAACAGTACTCTTACTACAGTCTGACAGTAACAGTACTCTTTCTACAGTCTGACAGTAACAGTACTCTTACTACAGTCTGACAGTAACAGTACTCTTTCTACAGTCTGACAGTAACAGTACTCTTACTACAGTCTGACAGTAACAGTACTCTTACTACAGACTGACAGTGTAACAGTTCTCTCTCTACAGTCTGACAGTAACAGTACTCTTACTACAGTCTGACAGTAACAGTACTCTTTCTACAGTCTGACAGTAACAGTACTCTTTCTACAGTCTGACAGTAACAGTACTCTTACTACAGACTGACAGTGTAACAGTTCTCTTTCTACAGACTGACAGTGTAACAGTACTCTTACTACAGTCTGACAGTAACAGTACTCTTACTACAGTCTGACAGTAACAGTACTCTTACTACAGTGTGAAAGTGTAACAGTACTCTTACTACAGTCTGACAGTAACAGTACTCTTACTACAGTCTGACAGTGACAGTACTTTTTCTACAGTCTGACAGTAACAGTACTCTTACTACAGTCTGACAGTGTAACAGTACTCTTACTACAGTCTGACAGTAACAGTACTCTTTCTACAGTCTGACAGTAACAGTACTCTTACTACAGTCTGACAGTAACAGTACTCTTACTACAGTCTGACAATAACAGTATTCTTACAGTACTATTTTGTCTCGGCTCAGACTTCATGGAGGCCACTCGCAGCCTGTTCCCGGAGCACCTGGAGGAACTCGGCCTGGGGGCGGGACCTTTCCTGTTCTCCTATCATGAGGCGGCCAGTTTGATGGACACCTCAGCCTTCCACTCTCCTGTGAGCTGTGTGTGTGTGTGTGTGTGTGTGTGTGTGTGTGTGTTTGTGTGTGTGTGTGAATGGTTGGTGGGGGTGGGAGGGGGCCGATGGCACAGACTGGTTGTCTCACTTCTGTCAGTGTGCCCCAGGGCAGCTGTTGCTACAGTATTTGTCTGAATGATCCTGTGTTTGCAGACGTACGAGTCTGAGTGTAGCTGCAGCTCAGAGGAGATGGAGAGTTTCCAGACAGAGGTGCGGCAGCTGCAGAGCCAGATGAGGCAGCTCAAGGTCTGCTACACAACTACTGCTCTCCCTCTGGTCTCTCTCTGGTCTCTCTCTGGTCTCTCTCTGGTCTCTCTCTGGTGTCTCTCTGCCCTCCCTCTGGTCTCTCTCTGGTGTCTCTCTGCCCTCCCTCTGGTCTCTCTCTGGTCTCTCTCTCTCTGGTCTCTCTCTGGTCTCTCTCTGGTCTCTCTCTGGTCTCTCCCTGGTCTCTCTCTGGTCTCTCTCTGGTCTCTCTCTGGTCTCTCTCTGGTCTCTCTCTGGTCTCTCTCTGGTGTCTCTCTGCCCTCCCTCTGGTCTCTCTCTGGTCTCCCTCTGGTCTCTCTCTCTCTGGTCTCTCTCTGGTCTCTCTCTGGTCTCTCTCTGGTGTCTCTCTGCCCTCCCTCTGGTCTCTCTCTGGTCTCCCTCTGCTCTCGCTCTCTTTGGTCTTGTGACCTTGTGTGTAACCATGTGTAACCATGTGTGAAGCCATGTATGTAACCATGTGTGAAACCATGTCTGCAACATGTGTGTAACCATGTGTGTAACCATTGTGTGACCATGTATGTGACCATGTGTGTAACCATGTGTTACATGTGTGTGACCATGTCTGTAACCATGTGTGTCACATATGTGTAAGCATGTGTGTAACTATGTGTGTGACCATGTGTGTAACCATGTGTATAACCATGTGTATAACATGTGTGTAACTATTTGAGTGACCATGTGTGTAACCATGTGTGTGTAACCATGTATGACCATGTGGGTAACCATGTGTATAACCATATATGTAACATGTGTTTAACCATGTGTGACCATGTGTATAATATGTGTGTATCCATGTGTGACCATGTGTGTAAACATGTGCGTAACCATGTGTGTAACCATGTGTATCCATGTGTGACCATGTGTATAACTTGTGTGTGACCATGTGTGTAATATGTGTGTATCCATGTGTGACCATGTGTGTAAACATGTGCGTAACCATGTGTGTAACCATGTGTATCCATGTGTGACCATGTGTATAACTTGTGTGTGACCATGTGTGTAATATGTGTGCAACCATGTGTTGAACCAATATGTTCCTCCACCGGGCGGCACGGTGGCTGAGTGGATAGCACTCTCGCCTCTCAGCAAGAAGGTCCTGGGTTCGAATCCCGGTCGGACCAGGGCCTTTCTGAGTGGAGTTTGCATGTTCTCCCCGTGTCTGCGTAGGTTTCCTCCGGGTACTCCGGTTTCCCCTACCACTAAAAATATGTCCAATAGTTCTAGCATGCGCTTCCTGTACTGGCCCCGCTCCCATCTCTGTGTGGAGTGAGAGACAAATGCCCAAAAATTAACAATTGTAAACCGCTTTGAGACTCAGATCTGCAGTGAAAAGGCGGTATATAAATAAATACTTACTTACTTACTTACTTACTTACTCCTGCTCTCCTCGAGGTCAGACGTGTCTCCTCCTGCTCCTGCTCCTGCTCTGTTTGCCTTGATTGTCTTTTTTCCTAGAGTTCTGCCTGGTTACAACTTGAAAAATGATGGAATTAATCAACTGGTCCCTCAACGCAATTGATACTATTTTTTCATCACGTAAAGGCGGTTCTGGAGATGCCGTTTGCCCGGATGGTACGGCGGCTGCTGGGTACGTTTTTGACAACTGGCAAAAGTGGCGCCCCGTTTGTCTGTCAGGACTGTCCATCGAGGACATTGAGGATATATACATTTTTGGATTTATGGTAGCAGGGTTCCTCCTGATTGGATTTGGAGTTGGCTTGATCTACCGCAAAGTTGGAGGGCTGTCCACTCAGAAGATTTACGAGCGGCTGTCCGCGGAAAACAAGAAGAGTTTCCGCGAGTTGGTCAGAGTCGTGGTCGACGGCACAGTGGGGACACAGCGGGGGGTGAGTGGGATCGAACATTCCCTTTCAGACCTGGGAGTGAGATCTTTGGATGGACTTAAACGCGTGGAAGGATTGATGAAGGACTTGGGCCTCACGGTGGAACCTCGTACTGACGTGGTCAACTCTGGATAACGGTGAACGGAGGGTCCAGTTCCAGTATAATTTGGACATATTGGCTTTAGTTTACACTGCCTTTCATTGATCAGCTAAAAGTGCTTATTCAAATTTCCCACAAGGCATGTGTTGTTTTGTCTCCAATGTTTGCACCTGCGCTATCTTTGTCCTCCACATTCCACCCTCACTGCTACCGGCTACTCAAGGCCGACACTGGACTCTTTAACTCAGACTCACAACCCAGAACACCAGTTACAGTCCCCCCCCCCCTACATGTCTGCCTCTCTCTCTTTTCAGTCTATGGTGGTCTTCCCCTCCACCTCCCCCACCCACACTCCCCTCTGACGCGCGGAATTGGACGAGGCGGGCCAGAGTGATGACTTCCCATTAAAAAGATCTGCATGTTTTTCCACATGTACCGTGTCTCTCCCATGTTTGTTGAAATATGTGTCTGTTTTGCTCTATGCTGTTGAATAACTGTCATAAGGAGCGCAGAAAATTAGAGTACGCGGCCGGCCTTGATGTTTATTCATTGAACTGAATTTCTCCATCTGTGTGAGATAATAAAGGATTGATTGATTGATTGATTGATGTGTGTAACATGTGTGCAACCATCCGTGTAACCATGTGTGTGACCATGTGTATAATCATTTGTGTAACCGTGTGTATCCATGTGTGTAACCATGTGTGCAACCATGTGTGACCATGTGCGTAACCATGTGTGCAACCATGTGTGTAACCATGTGTGTGACCATGTGTAACCATGTGTATAACCATGTGTGTAACCGTGTGTAACCATGCGTGTAACTATGTGTAACCATGTGTGTAGCCATGTGTGTAACCATGTGTGCAACCATGTGTGACCATGTGCGTAACCATGTGTGAAACCATGTGTAACCATGTGCATAACATGTGTGTGTTCAGAACATGATGAAGGACATGGAGAGCAGTAAGAAGACTCTGGAGGAGGAGCTACAGAAGACCTCAGAGGTACCGGCCAATCACGTGTTGCATAAGGACTTTACCAACGGCTTTTCCAGGGACCAGAAGAGTCGTTGGTTATTGCTGGGGTGCACCACATGGTCCACAAAGAACCTGACAGAGAACCTGACAGAGAACCTCACAGAGAACCTGACACAGAACCTGACAGAGAACCTACAGAGAACCTCACATTCAGATTCAGTTTATTTGCCATTTGCAGTAAAACCACATTGGAATACATTATCAAAAGTCTCCAGTGTGCACAGACAAATACAGACATAAAACAACATCCATCCATCCATTTTCTACCCTTTAATCCATTTCTGGGTCAGGGGGGTGGCAGTCAGAGATGCCACCCAAGTCTCATAGCACCAGCCCCTCACTGACCCTCTGCAGGTGGTGAGTCCACAGGAGGACGGCTGCTCTCTGACTGTGAGCATAGCCTTGATCTTTCAGTGGGGGCTTTGGGCAAAGTGGGGTTAAGTGTCTTGCCCAAGGACACAACGACAGCAGTCATCAGTGGGAGTCGGTGGAGAAGGTGTAGAGGTGGGAATTGAACCCACGACCTTCTGGCCTTAAGGCCAATGCTCTACCAACTGAGCTACTGTCGCCAAAACAAAACATTAAAACAACATTAAAAGACAAAAATAAAACAAATAAAACAGTAAACAAATGTCACTGTGAAATGGATCGACTAAAACAGTTTCAAAACAAGTGCAAATCATTAAAGTGCTCTGTTCACACTGATAACAGCCTGTGGATAAAAACTGTTAGCGTAACGAGATGTCCTGCATCTCAGAGAGCGATATCTTCTGCCAGAGGGAAGAAGCTGGAACATGGCTTTCCCAGGGTGGCCAGAAGAGTCATTAACAATCCTAAGAGCTTTGTTTAAAAGTGTGGATTTATAAAGAACCTCCAGAACAGGAAGCTCAAAGCCCACGGTCCTCTTTGCAGAGCGGAGCACCTTGTTTAAAGCTCTCTTTTCTTTATCTGTGATGTTTCCAAACCACACAGACACAGAACCAACAAGTAAACTCTCAATGGTGCAGCCATAAAAGTTAAGCACAATCTTAGAGTTAGTGGTAAATTCTCTAAGTTTCCGCAGAAAGTAGAGACGCTGACGAGCTTTCTTAACGACTCGGTCAGTGTTTTTAACCCATTTCAGGTTAGACAGAGTTAAACCCAGAAACTTGCTCCTCTACGATCTGCACCTGGGAGTTGTCGATTACGACAGGCAAATGAGAACTATTGCGACTGAAGTCGTGACCAGTTCACATGTTTTGGATGCGTTCAACTGGAGGTTGTTAGTTTGACTCCACTGAACCACATTTTGTATCTCTGCTCTATAAGAGGATTCATCAGTGTCACTGATGAGACCGATGATGGTGGTGTCATCAGCATATTTGATGATCAGGTTAGAGTCAGAGGAGGACACACAATCGTGAGTGTACAAAGTAAAAAGTAAAGGACTCAAAATACATCCCTGAGGAGAACCAGTGCTCACAGAAACAACATCAGAAAAACAGTCATTGATTTTCACTCTCTGAGATCTGTCAGTTAAAAAGCTAAAATTCCATTTACACATGGCAACACTTAAACCCAGAGACATGAGCTTTTCCATCAGTTTACCTGGGACAAGGCAGTTAAAAGCAGAGCTATAATCGATGAAAAGCATTCTGGCCACAGATTTACTAGTGTCCAAGTGACTGTAGACAGAGTTCAGAGCAAAGGAGATGCATCCTCCACACTCCTGTTCTGTCTGTAGCAAACTGGAGCGGGTCAACACTCACAGGGATCTGGCTCTTAATGAAGTCCAGCACAAGCCGCTCAAAAATCTTCATTAGGACAGAAGTGAGGGCCACAGGGCGATAGTCATTCAGGCATGTCACAGGAGTTTTCTTAGGAACTGGGATAATGGTGGACTCTTTAAAGCAGTTCGACACAGTACAGTTCCTTAGCGACAGGTTGAAAATGTCTGTTAGCACAGGGGCAAGTTGCTCAGAGCACAGTTTCAGGACACGAGGAGGGATGCCGTCCGGGCCTGGGGCTTTCCGGACTGTGGTCCTGGACAAGACACGCCTGACTTCCTCCTGAGTCACGGTGAAGGTACCTTGATTGAAACACTCAGGGAATACAGTAGGACAGGCATCAGCAGATTCAAAGCGACAGTAGAACGAGTTCAGCTCGTTTGGCAGAGCTGGGCCGACAGATGCAGTTTTCCCAGCACTAGGTTTCCACGATGTGATGGCTTTAATACCGTTCCACATGCGCCGAGGGTCATCTTCCTCAAAATAACTCTTTAACCTGTCCCCGTAACTGCGCTTTGCAGATTTAAAAGAACGTTTCAATGAGTAACAGGATAGCTTATAGGCAACTGTATCATTTGATTGAAACGCCAGAGCACGCTCATGAAGTTTCAGTTTCACTTCCGCGTTCATCCAAGGGTTTTGACTAAAATGTTCTTTAATGACCTTCTGTGGGACACAGCCGTCAATACAGAAGCGTATGTATCCAGACACAGCGTCACAGAATTCATTGACGTCCTCTGACTGAAACACAGACCAGTCCGTAGCATCAAAACAACCTTGTAGCTTCATGCTAGCCTCCTCAGACCAACACTGCACAGTGCGAGAGGTTGGTTTATGTTCCCTGCTCCTCTGAGAGTATGAGGGAAGAAGGAGAACAGAGGAGTGGTCAGACTTTCCAAAAGGAGGTCTGAGACTGGACCTGTAAGCTCCCTTCACGTTACTGTAGCAGTGATCCAGAACATGTGATCCTCTTGTAGCTCGAGTCACATGTTGGTAAAAGTTCGGGAGTACAGTCTTTAAATTACATTTATTGAAATCCCCAGCAACAATAATCACTGCGTTAGGATGAGCAGTCTCGTATTTATGAAGGATCTGGCTCAGATCCTGTAGGGCTACTTTGTAATCCGCCCGTGGGTGAATGTAAACAGCACATACAAATATCACTGAAAACTCCCGCGGAAGATAAAAAGGGCGGCAGCTCAAGACCAGGCATTCCAGATTGGCAGTACATGTATGGTTCACGACTCGAGTGTCCGTGCACCAGCGCTGATTAATTAAAAAGCACACACCTCCGCCTCTGGCCTTGCCCGTGGTCTCCTTCACTCTGTCCGAGCGGTGAGCGGTGAATCCCGGGGGCTGAACAGCAAAGTCCGGGACGTTCGAGTGGAGCCACGTCTCGCTGAGGCAGAACACAGTCCCGGGCCTCGCGCTGGCTCTGGACCCGACACAGGAGCTCGTCCGTCTTATTGGGCAGAGACTGGACGTTGGCCAGGTAGATGGAGGGCAAAGGGGTCCTGGAGGAGCGGCTACGAACGAGCAGACCGCCTCGCCTTCCCCGGTGTCTGCGCCTCCTTCGCCGACTGAAGATGCCCAGCTCCACACCGCGGAGAGAACGCCGGAGACGCCCAGTCCCCTCGCTCTGTTGGCGGCCACCGCCGCGGCCCGCCTGCCGTGCTCCACGGGCCTCTCGAGTGGGACACTCGAGGAAGTTTGTGCACCTCAGTTCAGGTAAAACAAGTGACCCGTCACACGCGTGGTCCCGAATGTACAGAAGTGTTTGCCGATCATATTTCACTGTGGCAAGTGAATCCCAGACGAAAAACAACAAAACACAGGTTGTGCGCACCAGAGCGTTCACTGCGGCGCCCTGACACGGCGCCATCTTGCTAGTCCTCATGCTCTCTCTCTCTCAACCTGACAGAGAACCTACAGAGAACCTGACAGAGAACCTACAGAGAACCTGACAGAGAACCTACAGAGAACCTGACAGAGAACCTACAGAGAACCTACAGAGAACCTGACAGAGAACCTGACAGAGAACCTACAGAGAACCTGACAGAGAACCTGACAGAGAACCTGACAGAGAACCTGACAGAGAACCTGACAGAGAACCTGACAGAGAACTTGACAGAGAACCTGACAGAGAACTTGACAGAGAACCTGACAAAGAACTTGACAGAGAACCTGACAGAGAACCTGACAGAGTACCTGACAGAGAACTTGACAGAGAACCTGACAGAGAACTTGACAGAGAACCTGACAGAGAACCTGACAGAGAACCTGACAGCGAACCTGACAGAGAACTTGACAGAGGACCCACAGAGAACCTGACAGAGAACCTGACAGAGAACTTGACGGAGAACCTGACAGAGAACCTGACAGAGAACCTGACAGAGAACCTGACAGCGAACCTGACAGAGAACCTAACTGAGAACCTGACAGAGAACCTACAGAGAACCTGACAGAGAACCTGACAAAGAACCTGACAGAGAACTTGACAGAGAACCTGACAGAGAACCTGACAGAGAACCTGACAGAGAACCTGACAGAGAACTTGACAGAGAACCTGACAGAGAACTTGACAGAGAACCTGACAGAGAACCTGACAGAGCACCTGACAGAGAACCTGACAGAGAACCTGACAGAGAACTTGACAGAGAACCTGACAGAGAACCTGACAGAGAACCTGACAGAGAACCTGACAGAGAACCTGACTGAGAACCTGACAGAGAACCTGACAGAGAACCTGACAGAGAACCTGACAGAGAACTTGACAGAGAACCTGACAGAGAACTTGACAGAGAACCTGACAGAGAACCTGACAGAGAACTTGACAGAGAACCTGACAGAGAACCTGACAGAGAACTTGACAGAGAACCTGACAGAGAACCTGACAGAGAACCGAACATGACAGAGAACCTACAGAGAACCTGACAGAGAACCTACAGCTTTCATAAAGGTCTGATCGGTCAGAACGCTGCCCTCTGATCGGTCAGAACGCTGCCCTCTGATTGGTCAGAACGCTGCCCTCTGATCGGTCAGAACGCTGCACTCTGATTGGTCAGAACGCTGCCCTCTGATCGGTCAGAACGCTGCCCTCTGAACGGTCAGAACGCTGCCCTCTGATCGGTCAGAACGCTGCCCTCTGATTGCTCAGAACGCTGCCCTCTGAACGGTCAGAACGCTGCCCTCTGATCGGTCAGAACGCTGCCCTCTGATTGGTCAGAACGCTGCCCTCTGATTGGTCAGAACGCTGCCCTCTGATTGGTCAGAAGCCACACACATGTATTTGGAGCAAAGCATCAGCAGGTAGTTCATCCAGACGATGACATGTGATGGAGCAGTCTCCGCTGTCTCTTTTGGGACGTATACACTTAGTTAAAATGAACATTCTCCCACATTTTCTATATTTATTTCAGATGCTGCCTCTTATGTTGTCTAAGAAAGTGTTATCGAAACTAAATAACTCAATCATTTCATTTATTTGGAACAAGAAGATACAGCTCTGTCTGTTCACCGGTGCGGGTGGGCTTGCTGCTCCTTCATACAGGAATGGTTTAAGTCAGATCCCAGCTCAATTTATAGTGCAGAATCTGCATCTTTGAAGGAAGGTCCCCATGTATATATCGCACCACAACACCTCTGCAATGATAAAGGACAATATGCTGTTGCATAATATGGAAAAGATCTGGAAGGTCAGGGACTCAGAAGGTTATAAGAATCATTTTGTAATATTCAGGTGTCAACTAGAACATGCATTCTAGGTCTTAATGATGAACTCCCGGTAGCTTTTTCAGAAGTGGATCTGTTACACACACTTTTACACTGTTCCGTAAATGCCTAATGGTGGATCTGGGCTGAGGAGCCTCTCATCAGGGGCTACAGACTGTGATCCGTGTCAGTCCTATGGAGGTCCTCTCCACTCTGCTAAAGGACGAATCATACAGGTTCTGTAGGACACGGGACCCTTTTTGGACTTTCTTGACATTCTTTCTGCACAAAAGATTTGATCCGGACTAAAGTCTTTGGCTTGGTCAAAAGACTCTAACTATAAATCTCCTGTCACAGTCCTTGATATCACACAAATGTGCTCTGCTTTGGAAAAATGTTCAATAAAAATAAATATACAAAAAAACATGTGAGGCACAACTATGAACTATGTGTGTGTGTGTGTGTTTTTGTGTGTTTGTGTGTGTGTGTGCACAGAAGGCGTGTGTGACTGTAGAGGAAAACACCCGGTTGCGGTGCCGCCTTCAGGCCGTGGAGCGTAAGGCGAGCAGCAGCGCGGAGCAGGACTATGAGGAGGTGATCGGGCTCCTGGAGGCCGAGATCCGAGACCTGAAGAACCAGCTGGGCACCAGGAAGCACCCGGCCAAGGTACTGGTACTCTCTGTATGCACCAACATGGTACTCTCTGTATGGTCCTACATGGTACTCTCTGTATGCTCCTACATGGTACTCTCTGTATGCTCCTACATGGTACTCTCCGTATGCTCCTACATGGTACTCTCTGTATGCTCCTACATGGTACTCTCCGTATGCTCCTACATGGTACTCTCCGTATGCACCTACATGGTACTCTCTGTATGGTCCTACATGGTACTCTCTGTATGCACCTACATGGTACTCTCTGTATGGTCCTACATGGTACTCTCTGTACGGCCTTACATGGTACTCTCTGTATGGTCCTACATGGTACTCTCTGTATGCTCCTACATGGTACTCTCCGTATGCTCCTACATGGTACTCTCTGTATGGTCCTACATGGTACTCTCTGTACGGCCTTACATGGTACTCTCTGTATGCTCCTACATGGTACTCTCTGTATGCTCCTACATGGTACTCTCCGTATGCTCCTACATGGTACTCTCTGTATGCTCCTACATGGTACTCTCCGTATGCTCCTACATGGTACTCTCCGTATGCACCTACATGGTACTCTCTGTATGGTCCTACATGGTACTCTCTGTATGCACCTACATGGTACTCTCTGTATGGTCCTACATGGTACTCTCTGTACGGCCTTACATGGTACTCTCTGTATGGTCCTACATAGTACTCTCTGTATGCTCCTACATGGTACTCTCCGTATGCTCCTACATGGTACTCTCTGTATGGTCCTACATGGTACTCTCTGTACGGCCTTACATGGTACTCTCTGTATGGTCCTACATAGTACTCTCTGTATGCTCCTACATGGTACTCTCCGTATGCTCCTACATGATACTCTCTGTATGCTCCTACATGGTACTCTCCGTATGCTCCTACATGGTACTGGTCTCTGTATGCTTTGGACCAGTCTAGTTTAGTCGCTGTGAACTTTTGAATGCTCTTGTTAAGTGAATGCAGCTAACACGTGTGTTTTTCACAGTTTCCCCGCGG